ATACGTTGCCCAGGGTGCACCACGTGGAGGTAAGTCTATCTCACACCCCAGGCTTGAGTAAAAGAACGGGTCTGTACTCCGAAATGCCAGGGTTTAAAGAAGTTAACACCTTTTGTAACATTTGTTCACAAAAGATGGGAACAGTTTCATTGCGCTCTAGTCTTGACAAGATGGTGTGGAGCTTCCAGAAATTGCTCCTCGTGTTTCCCACCTCGATGCCTTTCTCTAACAAATGTTAAGGCAATTTTCATTATATTTTCAAGGTTACTTTCAGATTTTTTTGTAGTAAAAATATACCTGCTTTGCATGGGCTTATTTGTTATAAACTTATTTTATTACAGAAGACATAGGACATTTTGCTGTAAAAATTTCTTTGCTATTTCTCCTGTCACATTTGCTTTTACTTCATCCTTTTCCTTATCCCCCTCCCTCCCCCCCTTGAGTAAGTAAAAGAATATGGACGACCTACACTTCAAGACCACTCAGGTTTTTTTTTCATCATGAAAACAAAAACACGTGCAAAACGTTGCTCTGACTATTCAGGAGATATTTAGCTTACCCGAAAGTGGAAAAGGACTTATTCACATTAGGACACTTTCCAAATGCTGCTTTCAAGTTTCGGCGACATTTACAATAGAGGCGAAAAATTCAATTTTGTGGACAATAAAGATAGTATGCTAGTGATATGAATTTCACTTGAAGCAAATGCTTCTATGAAAGGCGCTCAACTTTGAAAATAGATGATGCTGTGTCGCGCTAGGAATTTTTATTACCAACTCAAAGACCTTGGGGAAAAATGAGCACAGCAGTCAACTCTTTAATCATTTAAGCGTAGAACTGATGAATTTCAATTCATAGCTCAATCAATCAATAAGGGGGGTTTCCTTTTCATTCTGTGAAAAATAAATCCAGACAATTGGAGATCTCTTCAGCAATCTCTTTGAAAGTGCCGCATTGCTGACTACTAAAAGCCAAATATACTGCAATAAGCGGCCAAACAATTCATACTGATATTTACTAAAGCAGTGCCTTTAAACCACTTATAAGCTAATCTTCATTTTCGTTTGCAGCGGGGAGTTTTAACCATTGAAATTTCGAATTTTCCATTTTTGCCAACATTATATTACTCAAATACTTATAAACTTATAAGTAGATTGCAAATTATTAATCTATCACATCGAAATGGGAATTTTTTAACAACAAAGTAAAAACATGTGAATGAAACATTTAGCGAATAGTGCCATTTTTATTCCTAAGATAGCATTTGAATTTTCAAGCAAGGAAAATAAAGATAGATCACAGAGAAAGGAAGAGGGAGAGAGAGAGTGAGATAAGGAGATATTAGGTGAAAATTTAACAACATCAATACAAATTGGAATGACATATAAGAAGCGCGATATCAGATTTAATACAATCACAACATCAGGAATTGCCTGAAGAGATGCACCAGCATATATCACAGAATGAATAATAAAATGTATGAAAAATCATGGTTTTATCTGGAGAGAATCTAGGGAGTTTATAGCGAGAGCCAACTATGAAGCCTTATCAGAGGTAGAACCGTCAAAAGCATCCAATTGCTCGGTATTTTATTGCCACCATTTCCATGGAGGAACTGACTTTTAGGTTCCTGCAAAAGTTTTCCTGAAGTCCCTAGTAAATCTGAAGTTCGGAATACTACGGCATAGGGATTCGATTGTCCGACTGAATTCTGTCCAACTAGATCGACTTCATAGGAGGTACCAGGCTGAAGGCTCTTAATACGATACATTCCCTCCATTCCATTGGGTGTCAATCGAACAGCGTCCTGAGAACTGACATCAAAGACTGTCCAGGTACCGAGGGGCGTTACTTTGTTTTGAACTAAAATATAAATTAAGAATTCACTAAATAGAAACCACTATTTTCCAATAAACTTCGAAAGAATTATGAATTGACAGTCCTTTTCCGAGACTTGTAAGCTAGCAAACAATGCTCAACATTTAAGTCAATGAAGTAAGTGGTGATGTGATCGATGTTCATCAAAGGACATTTAATGAAGATAGTTTATTCTGACCAACAGGGGGAGAAATGGAGCGTAAATTACTCATCAGATGAAGCATAAAGATAAATTAAATGTTTTCAGCAAAATAACGGTTTTAAATAAATCGGTTTTTTCTCTTTTACAAATCGAATAAATCTGAATCAACGGTAATCAACAAGTACCTATGGGAGTCAGTTTGGCTGAGCTGTACTGTATATAACGACTATGCTAGCAGGTGCAAATGCTGTTACTGGTGCAAAACATCCAATTCTTGTTAATGAAGTTTCTAAATATCAAATATGCTCCATTGCTATCGACCGAATTAAAGAAATATTACAACTCCTCCACTTTTGGGGTGAAATATAAGTGGAGTTTAGGCAAGCAGATTGAAAATAAAATTTATTCTCAGCCATACACTTAGCCATATGTATAGATGAATATAAAATAATTTTGATTTGATATTTAAGGAAAATTTAATTATGTTGTGATTTTAAACCTTGTTATTACTGTTTAAATGACGTGCAGTCGCTTAGGTGAGAATTATTGTATTTTAGTAGCAAGGTCACGACAAATAAGAAGGAAAAGAACTTTCTGCGCAAACTTCAACCTCCCCTAATTTATTAAAATGAATAAATAAATAAAAATTTATTCCAATTAGATAAAATGAATTGATTGTCTATCTGGCTAAAAGCTATTATAAAGAGCAACGAAACACGGGCTTATTGAACCGAATTTCATTAGGGTCTAATTCAAGGCTCACTTACTACGTGAGTGTGAGTTTAAAAGGTTTATTTAAATGTAAGGAAGTGGAAACACTTTGGAATATGAAATCCACAGAAGTATTTTTATATCCCGTGAACTGGTGCATGCCCCCATCCCATGTTTAGTGAAACACTCTTCTGTCCCCCCTCTCTCTCCCTCTCGATGTTTTTCACTTTGATGTTCCTTCCCCTCTGCGAAGCCTATGATAACTATCAAAACGCCTGTCATTTCTGCTTCTTTGATGAACCTTCCCTCTGTAAAGCCCGAACTATGCTACTTTGATGAACCTTCCCTCTGTGAAGCCCGTAGCTCTTTTTGTCACCTTGATGTTTCTCCTCCTCTCTATGAAGACCGAAGTCAGAAAGGGCTAATGATAACCATCAAAACGCCTGCCATTTGATGTAAATAAATGTTTAAATTACAGGGTGTGATCCCCAGCCTCGTGGTTGAGTTCATGTCCGCGATGTTCAACGATCTCTAATCAGCTGATAAGCAAGTCTCTTATTAGCATAGTTGGGGGTTTGGCTTCATAGAGCTCATTAGAGTTCAGTGGAGAAAAATTTATTTTTCATCTTTAGCATGCACACGATATTCACTTTTTCTATAGTTATTATAGAGATTTGCAGTAGAAACAAAACTGTATAATTAGTTAGGAGTAAAAGAGGAGATAATTTAATCTTTATAAATAAATTTTATCTAGAAGAATTATGCAAAAGCATTGGCTGGTTATAAGTATGAACCATGGATTTCGTGAAATTTTAGTTTACAGGCTATATTTGTGAATGATTACAATTAAAACTTTGTAGGAGCCTACCGCTTGCCCAGTTCGTATTAACCGGTCGAATTTTGATTTTGTACATGATGACAGGTGATCCACCATCGGATTCTAGAATCCATCGAGCCAGATAATCCGAGGAGGTTACGTCTGTGTCTGTAGCGATGAGCCTCAGTTTTGGAACACCGATTTTTCTTGTTGTTACCTATCACCAAAGAAACGAATTATTCGTGTAGATCAAAACGATTTGCAGCTAGAATAGTCAGAAATTCGCAGAAATTCACCGAATTAACGCGATAATTTTAAAATTAAGTGGGATAACAGAACGCGAGATTTTCACCTTAAAGACTTTCAGGATACTCATTCCCCATGATTGGTGGAAACTTAGAATTCACTTCCATTTTGCTAATATTTTTTGCCAGCAAAAATGTGACAGTTTTAATTATGAACTAAATTTCTTCCGATTGCTCCATTATTCTATTAGTTTTTTTAATTATATGTACTATTCCCTTCCGCCGATGCTTTTAAACTAATTATGTTATCTAGTAACTTAGAGAAAAGCAAATATAATTATCAATGTCACAGTTAATTATATATCATCAATTTTACGTGATTTATAGTAATTGAACTGCAAAAATATGATACATAAGACGACTAAGAGAGTAAGTCGAACTAAATTATAAGTACGGCTTTAATTAATTTACATTTATGAAGAAAGCTTAGCTCTCACTAAAAAAAAAACTATCTTAAAATATTAGTAAACGTTATTTTTAAGAATGTTGCATTTAATTATCGCGTGTTTTTTATTAAGGTCACCCAATCGAAATAACAAGTGTAGAATTGACAACTTCGTTGAAACAGAAACTAGGACGAATGCACTGCGTTAAATGCTACATTTATATGCGAGAAAAGCGCAGAGGGAAGGCTTATCATGAGAAGCGACGAGCTTGCTCTCCAATTCGTGTAGACCTGTTTTAAAAAAGAACGTTTTCAGCTTCAAATGATTGAGAATGCGTGGAGTGATCAGATGTCATTTAGAGAACGATTGGCCCAACATATATATCTTCATTACACCATCATGGCCGTACTAAGGATTATAAACTTATCTATAGAGCTTACAGCGTTGATTAACTTTTTTTCCATTTTTTATCATTAATTAATCATATTTATTTAAATCGAGAAAAACATGAAGCTAAAACTCATCCTTAACTTCGCAGTTATATTTCAACTGTCAACTCAAATTAATAATAAGCACTGAGTAGGATAAAATTCTTAAAATAAATTGCATCTAATAGTACGCCAAATGAGTTTTGTGCAAACATTTAGTGTATCACTTTTAGATGGGGATTTATTAAGTCATCTTATCTTAATCAAGTTATTAAGTATTACTCACTTTGGCTATCAAACCTCATTACTTAATTTGTATGTCGAAGAATGCCTCACTAATAAAACGATTGTCATCGTATGAATACTTTAAGAACGTTCTCTTACAAATTGAGAAAAAAACTTAGTTAGACCAAGCTGCACGAAATTCATGATTTACCCTTCTACTTTTTAATAGTCGGCGTCCGTGATTGACTTACCTCCACGTGGTGCACCTTGGACAACGTATACCCATACGGCAACAATGTCCATAAACAGACAATTGACTTCAGTCTACCATGACAAGACTGCATATCATTTTCCAGCACTTTCACGGATCTCATCTCACCTTTTCTCCACCTTTGTATTCGTCTCTTTAGCATCTGTGAATCGCTTTTCTATTCCCACTCTCCACTTTTTATGACCGATGTTCCTCCCCTCTGTGAAATCCATACTCAACTAAAGGGTTAACCATAACCACCCTAAAGCCTACAATTTGATATGAATTAACTTTTCACAGCATTTTATTTAATGCCCCAAAGTGACAGAAATGACTGAAAGAAGGGTTTATGGCTATGATTCATACAGCAGGACTAGCTGATCTCTCCAATTATTATGCCGTCACTTAAGTGGAAACATTCGAGGAAGAAGACAAAATGCCTACGATATTTTTTGAGAGATCAATACATTAAATTTGTCAAAAATAATGATTACTTGGTCAGAGATCAAAAAAGTTTTCCTTGACGTTTCTTTGTAAGAATATATAAACTAAATTGAATGGTCATTATTGAAGGTCACTGATGGATGAAGGTTAACTAACACTCAAATGGGAAAATTGCGTCGGTGTCTATTCAATAAACCGATTTAGGCTTCCTGTCCAAGTTTCAAAATCAATAGAACGCATTTAATTTTCCCAATATTCGACTAGTTAACTGTCGAAAACTTTTACCAATTATAATATTTACCTCAAGGGGTGTGCAATAGACTTTCCTCCACGTGGTGCACCCTGGGCAACGTATACTCATACGGCAAAATGTCCATTAACTGGCAGTTGACTTCTGACTTCAAACCACCATGACCCCACTGTATGTCATATTCGACCACTTCCACAATACTCACCTCACCTTTTCTCTACCTTTATGTCTGTCTGTCTCTTTTACATCTGTGGATCTCTCTTCTGTTCCTTCTCTCGACCTTTTTTTCACTTTAATGTTTCTCCTCCACCACTCTGTGAAGCCCGAAGTCAGCTAAAGGGCTAACGATAACTTTCAAACCGCCTGTCATTTGAAATTAATAAATGAATAAATATTTACCTCAATGTAGGTGTTTGGCCCTCTTCCCGCAGAGGTGACTGCCGAGAGCGCAAATCTGTAGAAATGATTTGGCATGAGGTCGGGTAGGTGAATGAATCGCCTACCAGCCAAGTAGGCAAAAGGACCATGGAAACGATCAGTAGGCCCGGGTTGAATGCGCAACTCGTAGTGAGTGAGGGGCAATCCTCCAGTCTCCTCTGGTGGTGACACACACAGCACAACAACCGTCGGCTCCACCTGAAATAGACATTAAGTTTTGATTCAATTCCCAGGGTATCTCTCTAGCCTATTTGATAACTCCCCACCTGAAACGTTTTACCACCTCACGTTTTAATTCAACCAGCCAAATCATTATTTACAGCATTGCAAATGCTGCAGCCAGGAATTCAGTTGACAAATTATCTTGCCTCGTGTACACAAGCCAACCACTCGAGCAGATTACGATTTCCAACGTTACGCCAATTTCCATTAACCTCTCTTTCGACTTTCAATTCCAACAGCACCCTTTGGTGTCATATTTTTGAAAACTTTAACCTTTTAAACGTTTGAATAGTTTGATTTTTGCTTTCAAAAGTGTCAATGCTATTCATCTGTCGAAAAAATCAAGAGGCATAGAGAAAACTAATTTAAGAGATATAGAAGTAATATAATGAAATTTCTTTGGCCTATGTACGTGATTTCAGAAGGCATATAAATCTGTCTTTATGGACTAACAATCTGAAAATTGATAGATTGCTGTTCTGATAAATGCTTAGCTCAAATCAAATCTAATGACCATGACAATAGAAAATGTCACCAATGTTTTTTGGCAATATCAATAAAATCAGACTAAGAATCATTAATAGAATAATAGCAGGAAGAGAATATTAAAAAAATTAGCTTCATCGTCTAAAAATTCTTTACGCTCCCACTGGCTAGATTACCGGGCACTCCAGAAATTAAAAATAACATTAATTGGAGAAAAAGATGAGCTACAATAAGTGTTTTACCTTTTCTTCCCTAAGCCAATTAGTTCGGTTAAATCGTCGAACTCAATTTATATCATATTTATTTGATAGTAATTTAATTTTTTTCCTTTACTACATGAAGCTATTTAAAATATATTTTAGCCACAAAACCATATTTTTAAAACAGGCAACAAAAAATTCTTTCGAATTTATTTGATGATTTTTAGAATTATTTACCAGTCTTTTCTTGAATAATAAACAATGTGAAAGTTTAATGTCATTTATTGAGAATCCTTTGGTGAGGAAAATTAATAAAACAATAGGTTTCGCCTATTTCACATGCCTAAATTTCAAAAGTCAGCAAATCCATTGGAATTTTAACGAAGTTAGTTCTAGTTTTTTCCAAAAGGCGGCATTTTGAACGCAAAAAAGTGTTAGCAAATTTAATTTTTCAATTTATTACCAATGTCTGAGTTTCTTACAGTATGTACATTCTGAATGAAGACGACACCCACGTACGCCAAATTGTTTAAAATATAAGATATCACAATACTACATGTGCTATTACCGTCAATAAATAAATAACAAATAATTTAAATCGGCAAACCATCATCCTTTAGAAGGTTGTCCTCAATTTAAACGTGGTATGACTTCTGAAGGCATTGAAAATATATTCTCGATTGAAAACCCAAGAGACAAAATCTGATACTGAAAATGAAGAGCTTTGATGCATTTTTCAGCAGAGTGGGTTTATTTGGTGAAGCATATATTACCGGAAAGAAAAAAAATCCAATGAAATTTAAATATTCCTAAGTCATACTCAGATTTAAAATTTTATTTGTTCCCACACATTATAAACCTCCTATAACAAATTTTATCGATTTTTTCCCTCAATTAAAAATGAATGAAATATTAATCTTTACTTCATTATAACACCTTCAACCAAACGCTGCCTTGATTTATGATTAAGGTTCTTAAATTGAAATTACCAATTTCCAATTATTTTTGAACAGAAATAAGAAGAGTTGAAGGAATTTCTCCTTTTTAAAAACAAGTGGAAGTTTCTTCTCAGCCACACGCGTTTCTGCGCTGTTTTCTGTACTTCAGTAATTATTTATCGTTGAACCTGTAGCGAAGTAAATGGTATTTACTCGAGAAAAATAACTCTATTCAAGATGTGTAATATTTTTTTTTATTAAGAATGAAAATTCTCTAATGTAGAGCAATATTTTGAAATTAATTATTGTAATAAATAAAATAAAGGAACAGGACAGAACTGAAAAGAGGGCAGAGAGGTGGCCCGTGGAAACAGATATAAAGGTAAGAACTGAGGATATTTTCATCGAAATGTGACTTGGAGTTTGCCCTCTGGAATTTATTGACTAATTTTGTTGAGAAAGATCATGCGAACAATATTCAAGCCCTACTGATCAGGTAGTATTATTATCCCTGTCATTCCGATTTATTTGTTTTTTTCTAAAAAACTACTTTTTAAATGAAAATTTCAAAGCACCAGAGTATTCTAATGTTAAATGCAATATACTTTAGTAAATTTTGGCATTTTGAAAACAAATATTTTCAAACTCAAGTAAAACAGGCAATTTTCATTGCCATCCAAGTAGCGGTCGACTGTTTGTGCGACCATGAAAAATGGCGTTTTTTGCGATTTTGAATGTCCCACGCATTTCATTTCAGTCTTTGGGTAAAAATCTTAGCGGGGATAGTTTGCACTTAAGCAATTTTGTTGTGAAAATTTTCACAAAATAATGAGAGCAAAATTAAACAAATACTCAATGGAATATTTCCATGACACTCTTCTTGCATATCACAAAAGTGAAGTAAAAGATATAACCAACGTGACTATTCAATGCACTATACATCTACACACGTAAACTGCATGATTTTTTCCTATATGCCATAATGATAATTATAGAGAATGAAAAAATCCATTATCGACTCTTGATTTATTAACACACTGTCCACCTGTGCTGATATGACCCGAGAAAAGGAATTAAATGGCTTTTCAACTTTTCGTCACAAGGGAACGCTTGAACGCCCAGAAAGTGTATGTTCATAGAGAGGGTGTGTATTTAATTTCAGGGTGCGTATTTAATGCAAGACAATGAAAGTCAGAGAATTTAAAGAATCCAACTTCCCTAGAATTCAAAGAACTTTAAAAAAGGTGTTTTTCTAACTAAAGTTTCATTTCATCTTTCCTTCTATTTAAATATATTTTTTTCTTATGGGAAAATCCAGGTAACTTAGTTTCATGTAATGTCAATTGATGTTATTCGTGCTCATTTGACTTTTGTGATGCCCATTCAATGGATCAAAAAAAAACCAAAAGGTCACTTTGTTCTACATTGGTCTACAACAATTAATTTCAAAAGGCTCAAACCAGAGACTCTAACGAATACCAATTAAATTTGAGTAATAAATACTTTCAAACTGTGCAAATAATTATAAAAAAAGAAATTGAAATCAGCTACACTTCAACTTTCTTCCAATTGTTTAAATAACAGACTCTGAGAGATGCTTTAATGCTTGAAATGGTAAATAGTGAGAATGCGTAATTTTACTGGTCTTGCAAAGACCAGGTATGAAATCATACCCCCCCCCCTCCCCTCCTCACACCCACTTTTTCACTACTTATGTGTTAAGAATGTGGAGGTATTGATAGAGCACATGGGCTTTTAACTCCAAATACTACAAATATAGTTGGGATAGGCATTCCAATTTTTGCATCTGTATTTTCACGTTTTTGTTCCAGCTTTGACGTGCACTGTTTGCTTTGGAAGGTTAAATTCATGGAGACATTGCCTCTACTCTTTACCTTGAACAGCTTTGAATAGGGCACAAATGTATACATGTGCATGCGAAAAGAATAGGAAGCACCGTTGCGTGATTAAGTTCTTCTCTACACGTCATGATGGTTTTCAGTTTACTGTACTCAACCTTTTAAGTATCGCAGATTTTCCTTCTCTTTAGACTTGAGAAAGTAAGTATAGCCGGCTTTATTTTATTCACTTACATTGCCTACCAACTTAATTACAAATCAATTTGTACCAATTTCAAGACAGCAAATCTCATTTCGTCTAATTTATTACCAAACAAATATTTCATTTTCTTAGATCTTAAAGCTCTTTCTCTATTTCCTTTCCGATTTCTTATTTTTCACATCTTGAAAAGTACTTCAGCAACTAAAAACTTTTATTTTCCGATATTTTTTGATGCCTTATTATGAAAGGCTTGTACACTTCTATTGGTATTACTATTAATCTTCTATATTTCAGAATTGGCATTCATAATGCTTAGAGGAACAATGGCTCAGAAGTTGCTTTTTTCTCTGGCCTTACTGTTTGAGACACGGCCTTTTCTTAAAGGATTTTCAATTATAACACTGACAAATAATAAGCATTAGGGTGTATGTTCTTTTTTCAAATTGTCATATGAAAGATGACTGCTAATTTAGATTCCAATTCGTATGCTAGTCATATTATTATTACTGTATTGAATGAATTTTGCATACCAGTTTGTAAATGCCATGTTTTGCAAGTTGAAAATTGCAAAATGCATATATTACGCATTCGATTTTCTTTAAATTTAGGGCTTTTTGAAAAAAAAAACACAGCATGATATTTATCGCTAACATTCTTTAACTAATTGACAGAAAGTCTGTGTGAACTGCTCAATGGAATATATGTCTACATTTAATTTAGGATAGTGAAATTAAAAGGATAAATAATAAGTAAAGAAATTTGCTTTTCAAATATTTAAATTCACCGTATATAAATTTCAAACTTTCTACCAGAAATAAATGCAATTAAACATTAAGTAATTTTTGATAACTCTCGTTTACATTTTTTCCACTAATCTGTGCAAGATCTCAGTGAGCTGACATTTGTTTTCTTAATTGCCTTTTTTGAATTATTTGGAAAAAAGAGGTTTGCACTCTAATATCATTTTCCACATAAATCCCTTGGGACAACCCATGCTATATCTGCAACGATAATTTAATTTTAATAAATCTGGTTGGAGAATTTCTGAGTTCAAACCAGTATGTCAGCGGTCAATAAGATTTTTAAAACAATTCGCGCTTCCTCAGAGAAGTGTAAATTGTGTACTTGATTTTAATTTTGTACTATTGGTGTAATCATATATATATATATATATATATATATATATATATTGATTTATAGGATAAGTCACAGGGTTTGCTTCAAAATAGAGAATACAGAGAGAGTGACTCACTGTACAAGCGGTGACGTTTGGTCGAAGCGGATGAGTAGCAAGTTTGAGTCGAACATAGCCAGTGGCTGAGCCAAGTCGGTTTTCGGCAGTGCAGGAATAACTCCCGAAAATACCAAAACTCCAGTAGGCTGCCGGTAATATCAACTCACTCACCGATTCCTCACCCAATTGATATACTCGCACCGTATACCTAAATAAAAAGAATACCCAGTAGCTAACTCATTTATTTCATCAAGATTAGGTCATCTGGATCTATTAATAAACATCAAATCACAATTAAGCAATTGACACACCAGAAAGATAGTAAACCGTTATCATGGAGCAAATATTGCAAATGGTTATTCATGAAGCTACTGCTCAGTTGGATGTAGATACTGGAAATGATTAAAAGCCCTAGACTCTATATGCTAATTTTCGAAGTCCATGACTGTACAGCTAGATAATAGAATAGACAGAAAATCTTGTCCAGTTATTGAATGTGCTTTTAAGGATAGAAATTTTATTAAAGTTAGCTCAGTGATACATCAATTCTGCAAAAGATGAGTGTTAGAGAAGGTTTTCATTAAATGGGATTGGAAGGAAGGTATAACATATTTGAAACGTAAATAAAACTCTTTGTTTTTTTCAAAAAAGGATATTTTTGTGAATTTCTCATGAATGATCATACTATATTATAGTTTATTTTGCCAAACAGATTTGGCACCAAGTATATAAAGTGCAGGTGAAGCAAACTAACTTAATTTAATAACATTTTCAAATTTGCCGAATTTATAAATATATTTAGTTGATAATCGGCAATTAGGAACCCCAAATGTGGGAAGAATATATTAACTTGTAATTTTTTGTTACACATTAACGTAACGAATATCTGCAAGTGAACCCTCAAAGCAAAGTTGTTTGTTTGCTCTAAGTTCGTGGAACACATTTAAATTCCAATATAGTTGCAGAGCACTGGAACACTGTTGGCAAGTCAGTCAGATTATTGAATATTAATATTCATTATTTGAAACATAAATGGATAAATAGATATAAATGGAATTAAGTATAGAGTGAATGCATGATATTTTTTAATAAGATAAATTAAATCTATAAAGAGATTAAAGGTAACTGCTGTTTACTAGATCAGAATAAAACGATAATGAGCTACAAATGGAGTAATAAAGTTTGTTTTCAACTTTATTAAAGACATTCGTTTTTGGGCATTTGGCTACGCCCTAATTTTTGTCTGTCATTGTCATCATTTACAAGGCGTTTATAATAAAATGTTGAATGATTTGTCACTTAAAGATTTGATAAATCATCCTTCCACTTTAATTAAACGCTATTTGGTTTAATGAATAATTAATTGCTTACACTAATTCATAAGACAGATTATTACATAGTGACTTATAACATTTTTAATTTATTTTATAATAAATTTTGCTGACTTTCATTTTCCGTTCAAATTAATGTTCAGAAGTTTCGGAATGTTTGCTCATTGCAATTTTTATAGATTTCTTTTATTTAATTATCTTTTAAGGAATCTAGGAGTTGAATCTTAGCATTTAAAGCTTAAAAAAATCAAACATATTTCATTATAATTAAAATAGGGAAATAAACCAATTTAAACGCTTTAAATCTTTACCTCACAATTATATTTTCATGCGATGAGTGACATATTTTTCAGTCAAGCAAAGTTCCAAGATTTCATCATTGTAAAGAACATTAGCTGGTCGATTTCACTCTTAAAAATCTTTAATTTGCTCATACAGATTAGAATAGTTGCCTAAAATGAATGACCAGGAAATGGTTCCCAAATTGTTGTCCATTTTAGGTTAGCGGGCGTCAATTATACTAATTTAAACTCATTTTAGACAATAATTATTGCAAAAAGTAGCATATTTTTAAGCTTTTCACAACCATAATTTTTATGATATTTCATAAAATTCATTTTAAATGGTAACAGCTCTCAACGCTATTGTTGAAAAGTGCATTAGCGTAGTTGCCAAAGTAGAAGAAATTGCATCAAAATGTTGAACTCAATTAATCGATTTTTTTAAAATCTCTTATAGATAAATTTTTAGTCATTTTGATTGTTGAATGGTAACTGAAGTGTAATCACCAAGTATGTTGAATGCAAAGTAGTCGACTAGTTTAAACAATATTTAGCTAAGACGAATGAGAGTATTTAGGAAAATCTGTAGAAAGAAGCTCGCAATTACCCAAACTCCTACTTATTAGAATTTATTAGATTAAAAGACATATGACTTTCAAGTAATATAAAGTAATTGCTTTCTTAACTTGTTATGGTTAGGAAAACGATGAAATTTAGTAATTTAAGGATTCAATAATGTCGCAATAATTTGTGAAATCCTCTGAAGTGGCCAGAAACTGTGCATCTGTGCACGCTTAGCAGTACTCAACCAAAATGCCGTAAAAGGAAAACTACGAAACGCAAAAAATTAAGGTTGAACGTGAGAGAGTTTGAGTGAGCAGACGCCGTTGAGCGCTAAATTAATGTGCGCGTCATTTTTTTTCCCAGGGAAACAACCCTTCACTTTCTACAACACGCACGCTCATATTTCACATTCGCTTTAATTAAAATAAACTAGGTTAAATCACCGTTTCTCCTACTCCTCCTCATAACTACTCCAAATGCACTGCCAAAATTTCTTTCCCTATCACGTGGTTGCAATTAGAAAACACCCACTAATCATTATCAGAATGTCCCATCAACTCATTTTTGGCATAATTTTTACTTGTAAACTTTCCTTTCCAATTTTATTCGCTATAAAATGTGATAACAATACAGAAATTTATTTGAAATTGATATTTTGAGAGTATTCGAATGAATCAAACTTATGGAATAGCATATGCTCGATCTATTTGAACTAGATGCAGTTTATTTTTAAAGAATTAAAACGCAAAGCTTATGAGCGAATAATTACAACGATTAATGTATTATATTAGCAAAGTTAATGCTGAGTTAAATGAGTGAATAAATATTATGTTGTTGACGTCTTTTCGAGTAAAAACAAACAACTTGTTAAAGCGGTAAAGCCAAAACAAAGGTGTGCTCTGAATGATCGAGCGTAAATTCAGTGCAAAGTTAGATTTACCAGACTGTGAAGGAGAGCATTATACTCGATGAATCAATGGTTTAAATGTTTTATTATGAATAAATTAATGAAAGATATTTCATTGATTTTTTAACACTATGACTTCAGTGTCAATATCAAACGGATTTCTTCTACCCCCCACCCACCTCCAAATCTTATTGGTCAATTTAATTCCTCATGGTATTGAGATGCTTTCCAATCAATTAAAATCAATGAAATTATTTTAACTTATATATAGGTAATAAGTATCAGAAATGCTGACACTAATGAGATGCTGGCCTGGACAAAATTTGGTCGATGTATTAGCGTTTAAAGTTAAGATAAAACAGTTTTTCGAAAGGAATTTCGGACAAGAAATTCGATGCAGGCAAGATGGCAATCGGAGGAAATTTTTTATCAAAAATTAGAACATATTTTTCATTTATATCATTAGTAATTATCCAGAAATCAACAAAAATTAATCTTTCATGATGAAAATAAACTGTTTGAACAAAAATAATTTTGCTTGAATTGATCATTACGAATAATTGAAATTGGTTTTAAGCATTCTATTTTTCTAGTTAAGCATGCATTGCTGAAATTGCCTATTTAAAATTCAGTTTGAGAGAGGAAGCCAATCAAATCATTATCGGGAATTTATTGATTCTTCCAAAAGTGTAGTGATAAATAAACAAACATCCCCCCCTAGTACCAAGGCCGTACGGTATTTGAGAAGAACATCAAGACCAAGTTCTAAGAAATAATTGATCAATTGAAGCTTTGTGGTGAAGTTGATGATCTATCACGAAATCAAAATCGAACTTTTGATGACTTTCGTTGGGATGTATGTCAGGGGTCTCAGAAAATGCTAATTTAACCCAATCGTAGATGCAATTAGAGCTTAAAATCTAATGACTACTCACGTATTTGAAAGTTCTCCCACGACTTGATGTTATACAATAGTTGTTATGTCACTGGGAAAAATAACTTGTCCACAAAGTCTTTATTGTTAAAGTTAAATTATTTTTTGCTTTCGACCATGTTACTAACAATAAAATGTGCTGCGTAAAATATTACTATCTGTGTCAGTCCAAACGGTTGGAATTGGTGCAGTAAAAGTGAAAACGGTTGTGAGGAAATACTTGAATTTTGAAAATACACCTGACATATTTAAATATGTCAAGGGTACTCTGAAGTCGCTGTTAAATGAAGATTCATTACGATTATTTGAACGAATGACTCACTCTTCGGCTTCCATAACCTCATCAGTCGTCACAGGTTCAATAGGATTCCGGATAGCCGGTCCAGTCCACGTCCAATGTGGCGAGGGTTGACCCAGGGCTCGACACTCAAGACGTGATGGCTTGTGCGCTAGTCCATATCGAACTTCCCATTTACCCTCCCTATCACCATTTGGTTTTCTCTGAGATGACGATGAATGTGCTGACTCTTCTGGAGGAGGACCAGCTTTCGGAGGCGCGAACCACACCGAGAGGCGTCCCAATGCGTCTTCAGGTGAGGGCGCATAGGCAATCCAATTTTCACCACTTCTAGCCATGCAGACATAATAGTTATTATCTTCTGGTCGAAGATCTGAAATGAGAAAGAAAAACTCCTCAGTACTGAAATTTAATAGCCTTGGGTGAATAAATTTCATCAATGATTTTGCCGTACGAATTATAACAGAAGAAAGAGTTCGACAACACAGATCGTGTTCATGAGTAATAGGGGGAAGGGTGTTTGAACTCAGCAGCTTGTAATTTCATTTAATGACCAATTTGGCAGATAGATTTCTTATCTTAACTAGAAGGCAGCCATTAAAAGACAGAGGGTCTTCTATCCAGTAGTTTTTTCCATCTAACTCTCACAAAAAACTACGTCCACGGCTCGAAAACGCTTGCGTTAGTTGGCTATTAAGCAAAAAAGGAAAAAAAACTACGCACTCTCCAGGCTCATAATGTTTGAATGTCCAGTACGCATTCCCAGAGCTCGACACTTTTTCTTCAGCATTTCAATTTATTTAAGCAAAGCAATCATTAGGTAATTATAGTGCATCGATATGCGGTTGATCTCAAATGAGTTCAGTACATTCGAAAGTTGTATCGAAATGACGAGTTATTATATATTTATCATTATTGATAATTTTTTCAAATTTTGCCCAGCTAATGAACACTCTTGGAAGCCCAATTGGATCATTCAAATTTATGGCAATCTTAATGGCGAATCTTTTCTACTAACGCATGTCTAGACACGGAAATTGATTAACAGCTTCGAAAAAAAGTAATTGCGCTATTCAATAAACAATGCCCAACTGAAATAGCATAAGCATAAAAAAGAATCTTTTCTTAGTTGTGTTCTTTAAAAACAGGACAAACGCATGGCAGTGAATTTCATTTAAAATTGTGTTTTGTTCATAAAATTGCGAATTATTGCCATTTATTGAAGGTTGATTACCCTAGAATTGTTGCAACCCAAAGGATATTAAGATCAAAGGGATCATTTGATGCCACACATTATTCGAGCTGTTGATGATGTGCCATTTTTATATTAATTTCGTGAGTTAAGTTCTGTTTTTTAATTAGTAAATGAAAACAAATAAATAGTAGCTTTTAGGGTTCATCTCGAGAGAACTCATGTTGACTCTTTATTATTAAGAGCAAGTAAGTCATTTAAGATAATAAAAGATTATACCTGCTTTCCAAGAATTTGGAAGAAAGAGTTAACTGACGTTGCGCCAGAAAACACAGGAAAATTAGCTCAGAAAAAGAATCATGAACGTTACTACAAGGAGCGGTAATTTACTCATTGAATAAACGTTTTAAATCCAAATAGACTATTTTTTAAATGAAAAATGCATTCTTATACCTTGGCTTTAATTTTGACATTTTTAGATATACTTTTCGTTACCTCCTATTAGAATCTACTGACACTAATTTATCTTGATAAAAGGTCAAATTTGTCTATGCAGTAGGTACCGATAAAGTGGATATCTAATAGAAAAAATGTATTCGAATAGTACTCTTCGACGTAAAACAGGATTAGAGTACAAGATATGGTGATCACTAGCTTAGAACCCCTCAACACCATTAGCATGTTATTTCTGAAATGTAAACGTTTTTTCCCCTGGAACTGTCCTCCTATCTCCTGGAACTGTGATGACATCTTCACGATAATCAGCCTCTTCTAGCAGACAATCATAATTTGCCCTATTATTTCTTCCCGTTTGAAATTTTATTGATCAGATAATATCGGTAATAATTTAGAGCTTATCGAGTGAATTTTATTTGCAAGTAAATAATGTTATTTTGAAGGAAAATGCTCTTGCCATCAAATTCAACATCTGTAAGATCAAATGGTGGATTTCCTTAAAGTATTGTGTCATAATTTGTTAGTAAAAAATCTATTCCATGTTAAAAATTGTGAATTGCACTGGAGGTGCCAAAAAAGGTATGCTTTACCAGCTGGTCAATGGAAGGTGAAAAATAACCAATCTTTGCAATATTGACATTATGATAAATTTAACAAACCCGCAATCACATATTATGCTATTTTACTATCAACATGGAAGTCATCTCAGTGTGTGACACAATTAAAATGCACACGGACTTCCTCCGTCTCCTACTTTCTTACCTTCTTCCCTTCTCTCCCTCCTTATCTTCGTCCATCGTACTAGCGACTAGTCTGGGGGGTAATTTATCTGATGTGAGGACAGAGGGAACTGGAAAGAGGGAAGGAAACAAATACGATTCTGGATTTTATGTAGAAGAGACGAGGGTGGGGCAAAGTGAGAGCTGCTCAGTTGACAGTGGAGGTGGTGGTGGAGGGTGGGGTGGGGTGGGGTGGGGAGACCAACCGAAAATTACATCGAATACGCCAGAGGTGAAGGGCAGAAAGGGGGGGGGGGGGGGGAGAGAAAAGAAACGATAAGATTGAAAACTTATAAAAGGAGATTTGAAATAGTAAATAAAAAAATTTGTGAAAGAAATTTGTGGTATATGAATACTCGACTTTAAAAGCCCGAATTAAAATAGATATCCAGATTATGATCCAAAATGTAAAAGAAATATAGCTCTATTGGTGAGAAATGAGATATCTAAATAGTCATGAATTGCAGAATGGATCACCTTGAAGTAAATAGTCAATACATTTGGAAAATATCAAAGGATAGATCTTTAGCTTGAGGTGAAATTAATTTGTGCAAATGACATTCAAAATGATAAGAAAAATTCCAAAAGCCTAGTGTTCGTGAAAAGTTTGGAACCGAAGGAGACCATTTTCGAAATTTCAACTTTGGAACAGAATGGCAAAATGCAAAGTAGCTTTTCCACTGCCATTAATTCAAACGAGTTCAACTTTTCAATTCTCAAAGACTACCCGATGCCTTTTTAACCTTTTGAACTATTTGCTGTGCTCAAAGAGAAATGAAAAAATACATTAAAGACAATTGCTTTTGGTCTGTCATTTGATAATTAAGTTATTGGGTTTTGATAAACTCAGTGATATATTTTTTATATCATTGTTTGGTATTGTAACAATTGGACTGATTTAAAAACCTATGCAATTCTGGCAACGTTTGGAACATAATTTAAATGTTTAAATTTCACTCTTGTGAAAGCAAAATTTAGCAATTTTTTGGTATTGCTAAAAGGTTGAACAATTTCGTCCATTTTTTGGAGATAATTTGAAATTTCCGGTTAATAATTACTTTCTCCCATTTTCGGGTTAATTTAAACATATTTAACTGTTGTAGAATATTTTCTAAAAGCACGTTCCTCATAAACGAAAAGCCGTCTTTTTAATTTCCGTTATGTATGAAAGTGTTTGACATTTCAAGCTAAAGTTTTTTTGAAAATAAAGTTGAAATAATTTGGAAGACAATAGCCTAAAATTCCCTTCCCGTCAATCTCTAGACCTACTGAATTGAATGATTCCAAATGTTTCAAGCAGACAAATTGTTTGCGACTAATCCCTACTAGATTCCACTATGTCTTAATATTGGATTTCTACAAATTTTCACTACTAGTACCATTTTTGGTCCAGGTATTTTCGTCAGTTCAGAGAAATATTTCAAAGATCAATTTATACTTTGAAAAATGGGGCGTGCATAGACTTACCTCCATGTGGTGCACTCTGGGCGACGTATACTCATGCGGAAAAATAGTCTGTTAACCGGCAGTTGACTTCTCACCTCAAACTACCATGACCCCACTTTATGTCATCTTCGACCACTTCCACAGTACTCACCTCACTTTTTTCTACCTATTCTACCTTCGTCTTTGAAACACTCCTCTGTTCCCCCCCCCCTCTCGACTTTTTTCCACTTTGAAGTTCCTTCCCCTCTGTGAAACCTGAAGTCAACTAAGGGACTTCAACTATTAAAATGCCTGCCATTTGTTATAAATGAATAAATAAACCTTGAAAAATTGAGTATGACTCTTTTGATTAACATTAAAATTTATTCATTTATTTTAGTTTTCAATTTATATGACTTAATCATTTGGCTATTAAGTTCAGAAATAATGAAGTGACACAAGCTTTGGGAAAAGAACGGCTATCACTGAAAACGGAAGAACATTTATCAAATTATTGTGAATGAAACTGAACTAACAATAATAGGAATTGTTTTGGGATGTAACTGTGATGGTTACAACAATGAAGCAGAACAATTTTAATTTGAAAAATAACTAGAGCATGCAATTTGCAATATTTAATTAACTTCGAGAAATTGCATTGTAGTTTATTTAAATTGAAAATATATTTAGTAGGCTGATAGTAAAAAAGATGTTTAAAATCTTTAAATATGAAAAATTGCAATGAGTATTTACTAGGTCTATTAAAATTATTGAACAAATTTTATGAATGCATTTCTTTACGTTTTTGGAAAAGTCCAAAGACCTCCTTTGACAAGCTATCACTAATCATGCATCCTAGATACAATAACTATTAGCTTTGATGTTGACTGATGATGAAAGCCAACTTTTTTGTATCACTCTAAAGGCGGATGTCTGCGTGTGTCTGGCTTTCTAATCAATAATTCTACGCCAAAATGCTTTGATATCTGCCTTTCACCGCTTCCAACCTCAGACCAAAGAAATCTGATTTTTTGTTATGGCCGTTGACAAAAGCAAGGGAATAATGGCATAAATCGCATTGAAAGACCGTCGAAAGACTTAGGCAATGGCCCAAACTTCTCTTCTTTGTTAACCATATTGAATATACACGAACATGTGCTTATAAATTAATCCAATTAAATGTATGCCAAAAGGATATGAATTGCCAATATCTAAAGCTCGCCTATCTGCTAATATACTCTACGTATATCTTTACTTCAAATATTTACTGCTCTGCTAAACAGGCGCTTAAACAAGTTTGGGAAAATGTATTCAATGATTAAATGCTTTTCTATGGCTGTGACAGCGTCGTAATAGGAATTGAATAGGTAATAAAATGCTAAACTGTGGAATGTATTCAGATATAGCCGCGCTTTAATTCCAGCCAATCAGCCTAATTTATGGTTTTAAATAGCTCTGTCTATCCCAATAAAAGCTAGTAAATTTTCGACTTCAATTAATTAACAAGTAGAACTTCTATTATTGCTCTAGTTTCTTTTGTAGAAAAAATACTGAAGTGCTGGATTACGTGCATTTGTCTCGCAACAAACCTTCGACCACAATACCAGACTCATTCTTCAAGGAATTACCTATACTTGAAGCTTTTAAGATGAACTACATTGAGTCTGACGGCAATCGGTAAATTTGTTGTTTCTAATATTGCCTTTAAGAGGGGCTTGATTACCACTAATATTTGAAAATGTATATTAATTTATACAAGTCTTCATCCACGTAAAAAAGGGCAATTATACACTCAAAATATAAGCGATTTGAAAGAGTAGCGAATGAAGTATATTAAAAGGGTAGCATATACTACTAAAGAAAGTATCTCAAATAAGTAGGCTGCATGTACAAAAGTTGGACATTCGACAGAGTGCAAGTGACTGCAGATAAGGTCCCATGAAATGATTAAATAGATGGCTAGGGAACGATGTTGCCCAAACGATATTTCTCTGTAAATATAACGTTGTATACTTTCTGTGGATTACCGACTGCATCATGTATTGAAGACGTGAATATATATCAATAAAAGCTACATAAAATAAGCAAAATTAATGTCAACCTAAGATGATGAGTACTTCCGTCACATCAAGGTTGTCACACCACAAGGAGTTTTAAGGTCACTGAGATCACGACACCATCAAGACAACCTCATTATCAGAGCTATATAGTTTAAATATTTAAAGTAGATGAGCAAATAGGTGGGCTTTGTTTAGGCGAATTCGAAGAACATTTCATTTCAGGTTTCTGATTGCCATATAGATATTCAGGAAGGTATTACAAAGGTAAAGCTGACCACTGAACCAGGTAAGAGTTAACGGAACAAAAAGTATTTTTGTATCGTGAAGAGAAATTTTAAAATAAGATGTTAGTTTATATGATTCATGTCAGAAATGACTTCACGAGTACTACAGACTTGATATTTGAATTTGCAATCACGGCTACGTATAGACTGGACTCCAATTATTTGAGTACTGATGGGAAAAGAAGCGAATCTTTAACTCCCAATATTGTTCACTAATTGAGGGAAAACTATTTGCTTCTACAGGTTTTGATAAGTAGTAAATGTTTTCCTGCCAAATTAGCCCAAAAAGTCAAGTTCCAGGCATATGCCTGAAAATCCAATAATCACAAATTTCGCGCGCAAGTTATGAGAATCCAAAGCGTGGCTTAATTGCATTCATTAGATTCAGGCTCTATTTCTGTTGTAATTTTGAACAAAATACCCACTGTTCAGAGCTCCTAGACATAAATTAAGCCTTGTGGAACAGTGAAGTTAGGAAAACACATCCGTATCTGATTCTTTCATTCAAAATTTTACTCATTCTCGCTAGGAGAGGAATTATTTGATTTTTAAAGCAAAGGACGAAATTGACGATAGGTGTCCAAATTTAACCATATAAATGTTTGCGAATGGAGAAAAAATTAAAAATCGCTCCTTCAGTAGCAAAACTCGAATTTTCCCTCAGGAGTACTTCAGGGCCATAATAAAATCGCTCATCTTTACGAGTTGTGCAATTTATGAGAAAAGGAAGGAAATGGAAAATATGCTCACCAGCCGAGCACTTCGCTTTCATTCTCCAACTTTGACATAAGTAAAATTGGAGTAGATTATGGGACTCATTGTGTGTGGGTGTGTGTAAAAATAAACAAATAAAAGGGTACTCTGTGCAGAGGAAACACATTCACAATTCTCTATGAAGGATGGCTCTAATTATGAAAATCATCTCAAGATCGTATCTGTGAATATCGAACTCTTAGTCTATAAGTAGTTTGCAGACGGGTCAACTGAATAGTCAGTTGTCAGAATCCAAGGCGGTTTGGAAAGAATCCTTGAAGCGGTACAATGGTCAATTCACTTCTTTGTAAAACCAGTGAGTAAGAATTTTATGCTCTCATTTTACACCCGATGGGTGAAATGGCCACCTTCGTCAGAATTCAAAATTTCTCTTCTACTTCTTTGGAATAAGTGTTGAAAAACTCTTTCTAAAATGCTGTAGGGCGATATTTGACCACTAAAGACCCGACCGCAAATTTTATGACACATTAGAATTTTTACTGAATTGCAGGTCAACTCTTGGCTACCTGCCAACTATTCCAGAGTATTACCTACCACAGCGTTGATCAAGCAAAGCAAAGATCGCCCAGATAATAGAATTTTTCAATAGAACATTTTATCACCTCGTATTTGCTTCCAGTAAGAGTTTCCAGTAAGTAGCGCAGCTTTATGTTAAACAATTACGAATGCTCTCATTTTTCTTCGTGTGCACGTTCATTGTTATAACTCAAAATAAAGTTTTAGTTCATTTTCTAACCCCCCACAGAAGAGCCTCTGACACACCAAGATCCCATCACATTTGATCTCTAAGAATAGCACATCTGAAAAAAATTAAGACAGAGTCGAAGTCAGGACTAATGAAAAATCTTATAGAAAAATTAGTGAAAGAGGCAGCAAGCGAGGATTAAACCCCAGATCAAAATTTCTATTTTTGAATTAAGCATCAGTCAATAAGGTAAAACGAAAGTAAATTAATGAGTCAAATTTCAAATTAATAAGCTGATCCATCGTGAGGCATATTTGATCGACTTAGGTAATGCCAAAGTGGCAAGCTGTGGGGATCTTAAAGTGCATATTGTGACTTCTAGTTTTATTATAAAAGATATCGTGTCAGAGAATACAAATCTTTCTGGTTTCCGAAATACCTGTGTAAAATTAGTTTAGCAATGTAAGTTAGCACCAAATTGAAAAATGCTGTTTTTGAAACATATATTGATTCTAAAATTGAGAGTGTGAAAGGTCGAAGTAGCTACAATGCCTTCAGATTTTCAATGCGATTAGCTCCTTATTTCCAAGAGATAAAGTGACTTCTTGAGGAATCCAATCATACCGACTTTGAACTTTGAAATTTAATAAATTAAAACTATAGACCACATTAGCTTTATCCTAATTAACGCCACGGCCTTCGTTGGTACTAAAAGCTTCTGAATTGAAATAGGAGCTCCGTCTAAATATCAAATGGGAATAGCAAAAACATACTAGATGATCTTAATACCGATCCCAATTGGTTGAAATACATTCGCATATGTCTTATAGCTACTTTGTATTCGATTCTTTATAGCAAACTATAATGCCACATTTTCTTACCAGTAATTGTTAAGCGAACCATTGCGGCATATGGATTTCTAGGGTCCGGTCCAGAGGTAAGACGATATCTATCGTTGGTTTTGTTGCTAATCACTTCAATACTCTTACTGAAGGCGAACTCTGGTCGCTCATCTAAGTAATCCGAGGTCTCGCCGACATTGTTCGATAAAAATCCCGCTGGTGAAATGGTTTTCTTAGCTGTGCTAGTCTGTTCGGCGAGTTCTTTGAGCCCTGAACCACGGAGTAGGGTTAAATTAAATCCACCATTCATATGGAGTCCACCAAGGGCTTCACATGTTAGAGTCGCATTGTCTCCAGGATAGCCAGTGGCATAGAGCTTTGTACCAGCAGCTATGAATTGCGGCATCAAAATAATTGCTGGAAGAAGACTGCAATAGCAACAAAAAATAGCACTACGTGAGTGAGTGCTTGAGAATGAATCAAATTAATGGCTCTGTAAATGGTTTTCGAATATTTTAAGGAGAACAAATTATATTCCATTTTTGGCCACTGCACTATCATCAAAGGGAATGCTAAATGTGTTGCATTTTAAATCATATAAAAGCGTTTTAATACAATGAGAAGTCAATTAATCAAGACAATGTTACAATAGTCGAGGTACCAAAAGTCTTAGAGTTCCTGCGCCTGCACTTTTTAATCAATCGATATAATTCACTGAATCAATTCACGTCTGAGGTGTACAATGCTAGTTAATTCAGATTATTGATTGTCAGGTTTAAGTCAGAGTAACATAGGTCATGCTTTAAAACGTTGATAATCTTAAAAACATTTTTTTGGCAGCAAATCGAGGTAGTATAAGAAGAGACAGAATTGTTTGATCCTGTCAATAGACTGGTGAAGATAACTTCGTTCATTAACCTGTGGGTATATTAGAGTAAACGGTATATTTTCGGAAATATACAACAACTTAATGCTTTATACTATCTGAGTCTGAATTCAACATCTCTGTCTATTCTTCATGCACCCTAACGTAATGGTTCGTTTGTGGGCATTTTACCATTGACTTTGTCAATAATGTTAACAGTAACACTTTAGTCAATTGACCACTTATTTCACTTCAAAACTATTATACAGTAATCTAGAATTCATATTAAATTAATTATTATAATTTTGAAAAATTATAATCGCTTTCAAATCCTAAATCTGGATGCAATAAAATATTCTGTTTGACCTAAAGGTCAAATTAATTTATTTTAAAATTGTGCAAAATGAGGATACAAGAAGACTAGCAGTATTTTAGAAGCAATATTCCCCTGAATTTTGTTTAAATGATATGCGGTGATTGGAATGGAAAATATTATTATTTTTTGAAGATAACTCCATTTTACATTTATCGACTGTGAGTTGGAAAGAAATAATAAATGTAAAATACGGAGAATTGACTGCAAAATAGTTGTTCCAAAGAAGAACGGAGAATATTACTTCTGTCGCCATTCAACGAAACCAAAACAATATAAAACATTCAGCTAGGGAATCAATTTTTATGCCATCAAGGTGGGTATTTCCAACACTATTTCTCTTGAAACTATTGCATCTATGATGCGACTTCTGCTTTCATAAATATCACCCGTTGTCGAGTGAGACCTTGTTTATTTAAGCAGCGTTTGTACATAAGGTCATAAATGAGGCAATAGAGGTAATGATAATATATATTACATTAATAAATAGCAATAAATAGTAATGCAATATGGTCCAAACCAATGAAATGAAAGTAGATTCAATTTAAATTATACTGACTAGTTGTGATTCATTCAATACAGATTAATCTTTTTTTGTGTTTGCGATTGGTTGTGGTTGGATCTCATTGGACTTTTATAGAACACATAATATTCAATGTCTATTTTCTTAAGAAAGGACTTAAAATTCCTTTTTTTAGCGTCAACTACTACAGATTCGTTTCATTTCACATTTTGAGTATTCGTTACTGGAAAGTTTGTGGTTGGTAATTCAGTGAGCTCCATATTTGAGGTTCGTCTGTGATTAATTGGTCTTAGGCAAATTTGATGCGATTACCCTTTTTCATACCCTACTTGGCTACTCTTAAATGTTTCTTTCCCCGACTGACCAGTCTTTTTCCTTACAGATAGAACAGGAACAATTTATAAATTGTTTAAAATTCGAAGAATAGGATATCTTTATAGGATTGTAATATATCCAGCCAACTATGGTCAAGACATTAATGCTAGTAATCTTCATTCCTACTTGATATCAAATTAAGTTCTCTGTAGTTTATCTTTCCATTAAATATACCATGAAGCTTATTGTCGAACTCCAAAAATTAACCATTTTCCCAAGGTTTTAAATCTCAATTTAAATAACCCATATAAAAGTTTGATAAGATAGAGATATTATATTGTAATATTATTCGAACACGGTATTCAAAAACAAAGCAGATTTATTTGGCGTTTTTCAAAGCAACAAAATGAAGTAAAAGTTGTGTGAACTTTAAAAATTGTTACTTGAATATTCGGTGCCATCAATTTGCCACAATTGATTGATCTTCACAAATGCCAAAACTTCCATCTGAAAGACCCCCCCCCCAAAATTGTGCGCAAAATGAGGAAAGCGCGAAATCAAGTGATTCCCACTATCATTACAATGTGAGCAGGCTTTAAAGCAGTCAATTTGGATTTCATACTTCGCAAGACAATCGACTCTTAAAACTTCCTTTCTCCTTACATATTCGCTTGGTTCAAGTAACATCAATGATTAAAATCGCAACAAATGGACACTATTCATCCACATACACTGACTGTTTTACAATATTTTGATTACTCTATAATATACGCTTCTCAGCCCCTCCCATTATTAAACGCTTTCCTTGTTAAGGAACCAATATTTTATGAAATAATGTGTCAACTCTATGGTAGAGTACGCTACAAATTAGCAGCGCCTAAACTGTGAGCTTTATTTACTGTCGAAACGGAGACCTACGTTTGAAGTCGACAGTAATAAAATTATATTGCGCCTAATTTTAATTGCTCGTACAGAAAATTAATTCAGTGTGAAGTCGTTGTGAAGTAGAAATGAATAAATAAATTTAATCATAAAATGCTTCATGACATTGGACAAGCAAGCCCCCTTTGAACAAAGTTGTGACTGAATAACAGGCAGATTTATGGAGTGTTATGGCTGAACAATTAAATCTCATGCACCTGCAGACTTACACGAGGGTGCTGGCTTAAACCCAGAGATCTCTCAGCCAGCCACCAATCATAAATCCGTGCATTGTTTAACAATCCCATAAAGTTATTTCATGGACATCCTATTGGGTTGGCAACTAAGTCATTTCCGATTTCAAATAAGAAGGCAAATTCGGAATTTTTGTTTAAAAATATAACTTTATTCAATTAGATATTCGCCGTTCTTGTCGATGACCTTTTTCTATCGTTCTGGCAGAGTAAAAATTCCCCGTTCGTAAAATGTCTGGTCTTTGCTATTAAAAAACTGAATTAGTTGTGATCCGACATCATCCGCGTTGTTAAAAATTTTACCATTTAAAGAGTTTTGCGTGGAACGAAACAAATGGTAATCCGAAGGCGCAAGGTCAGGGCTATATGGTGGGTGTAACAAAACATCCCAACCCAGTTCCAATAATTTTTGCCGAGTAACCAAAGATGTGTGGGGCCTTGCGTTATCATGATGGAAAACAACACCCTTCCGATTTGATAATGCCGGCCGCTTATCTTCAATTGCATCCTTCAGTTTTTCGAGTTCTTCAACATACACATTTGAATTTATCGATTGGTTCTGCGGCATGAGTTCAAAATACAAAATTCCTTTATGATCCCACCAGACTGACAGCATAATCTTTTTTTGGTGAATCTCTGCTTTTCATACTGTTTAGGCTGGTTGATCTTGCTTCACCCATGATCTCTTGCGACTAACATTGTTATAAACTATCCACTTTTCGTCGCCAGTAACTAGGTTCTTCAGAAATGGATCATTCTCATTCTCATTGCGTTTCAGTAGCGGCGAATCACAGATGCTAATCCGTTGCGTCAAATGAATTTCCTTTAACTGGTGAGGGATCCATAAATCAAGTTTCTTGACATAACCAAGGGTTTTTAATTTTTGTTCAATGCATGTATGCGACACATTGAGCTTCTCTGCAATATCTCGTGTTGTGCTGTGACGATTTGAATCGATAATGGCCTTGATATGGGTTTCATCCACTTCGACTGGGTGGCCAGATCGTTGTGAATTTTTGAGTAAAAAATCACCGGAACGAAATCTTTCAAACCAATTTTGACACTGCCTTTCTTTTAAGGTTTCATCTCCATATACGGCACATAACTTCTTTAGTGCTTGCGATGCGTTCTTGTCTTTTCGGAAGTAATACAATAAAATGTGTCGGAAGTGCACGTCCTGTTCTTTCATTTTTAAATTGGGATAAAAACAAAACTAATGAACTAAACAAAAAATTTTTTACTAATTAACCTAGAAGCCCATACAGTAAGAAAAAAATATAGGTTAGATGCTCTGGCCACGTTAACAAAACAAAAGAAAGTATAGAGTGAATCTGTCAACAAAAACGACAATGACTTAGTTGCCAACCCAATAAATAGACGCATTCAAAACCATGCGTCTGTTTCCTCAATACCTTTAGCGATATCTTAACTAACCCTTAGAACCATTCAAAACTAGGAGATCTTGCATTAGAAATTACTCAGCATAGGTTTTAGCTTATTGTTATAGCAATCAGCTTCAGATTCCACTGCATCGAAAAATGAATTGGTCTAAGGAAAACGTAAATTTACTCAAACATGTCTTTTTCAGATATTTCAAACTAAAATTCAGAAAACCGAAGCTGTTTAATTAAGTAATTGAATTACCATCTTTTCCAATCTCAAAGTCACAGAACAGTTTATAACGTTGATATCAGGGGTTACATATGTGATGACAGATACCGTATTCTAATGGTTTTCGTTACGTTTAAGATGCCTCAACTACTGACTAATGATTGTAAATTTTACATTTAAATCGAAGTAACACACCCAATCATGAACTTTATATTAACTGGTCCGTTCAGTTAAAGATTACATCGAAAATGCGAATTGTGTAATGAGGTGCATAAAACGCCCAGTTATGCTCGTTAATGGAAGGGTCTTGCAGGTCCTTTTAATTATTTCTCGTGAGATCTATTATTCTTAACATTTTAGAGGATTATACTCCAGGAACAATATTTTCCTAACTTTGTTAATCAGACTTTATTTTAAAATAATCACATGAAAGTACACAACTTATATTGCGACTAACTTTTCAAGTGCGGTTGTACGGTCAATTTCTTCCTTCGGAATGCAGAGGCTTAAGTTATTAATTATTCCGTAAAATGTCTTTTGAATAATTCATTTCGCAACAAAAAGCGCGCCGAAAAAATGCTTGAGCAATCGATTTATCAGCCATAGTAAAACAGACGGACAGAAAATTAACCTATTCAGAGATTTAATTAGGAAAATGGAATTTTAAACAATTTTGAGGAAAGCGGATAATCTGGCTAAACCAAAAAAGAATATTGAAATCTTGATTTCATTCCACATGCCATGTTCATTATTTCTGTGTTACCATTTGCCGATTCATGATTAGAACTCCTCATTTTATTTTCATTGTTATGGAAGCAAACCTATACAATATTATGTAGACAAAGATGGGTGTGGACTAAATAAAACCCGACAATAAGTTCACTATTTCGGCGGGGCAAGTACTGGAAATGAAAATTTGACAGGTGTCAAATCACTCTGATGTGCATTGTTTAAAGATTGGAACATGTACGAATGACAAATCAAATTATACATGAATAAATCAATGGGAATCATTCAACTTTTGCAGTTCATGAGCTCCTCGACGTGTTTCCGATAGTCAGAACTGCAATCATTTAACGAGTGATTATCCATGAAACAACATTTCTCTATTTTTTAACTACTTACTCATCATGAGGAAGTCCCTATTACCACTTTCATTTCCTTATCTATTAATACTCTATTTGCAACCTTTCCCCACATTCAGGGCCCTGGTTTTTCTTCTCTCTTCTCCTCTATTCAATTAGCTATCTCCCTTTTATTAGCTGCTTCTCGTGCCAATCTCAGCCTCTAAAATCTTACCCAACTTTATCTCTGAAATGACATCGATTTCTTCGTGTTCTTATTGCCTTTCTACCCTTAAATTCAGTGACTCCAGAGTTATCCACTTCATCTGATGGCCCACCAGTTCTATCCCTCAATAACGTGGTATGGTAAGCCACTTGCCTAATGTAATACCTTTCAAATGAAGTATTGTTCACTTCTTTGACCTATTCCCAAGTTTTGCCCCGAAAATTCACTTTGGCAATAGAATAATGCATGACATATTACAGTGCTTCTAATCTCCATGGTAATAGCCTGTTAAAAATGGTGTAATCATTCTAAGAGTTTTTACTCATTAGAATACAAGTGCCGTGTAAGGAATGCTAACAGCAAATATTTCCAATACCCCAAATGGTAGCACGTAATGGCAGGTGATATTAAAACAAAAATACATTGAAAATACCTTCCAATAGCTGTCTTATTGCCCCGTCCACCCAGCTGTTCCATATTCAATTGACCCAGGCAAGTGTATCGTGTCGCATCGGAGACTCCTAATTTGTCCACAGACAGTCGTGAAACCGCTATCAGTGGCAATCCCTTATCATCTTTCTTTAATCCAGACACTACAGCAAATCTGCCCAATTTCGTTCCTTTAAAATCCGGTTCTTTGGGCATTAGAGTTGCCACATCGGATTCGGTTAGAGGTTTCACGTCAGATATGTTATAATCCGAGGAGGATTCCACTATTGCTGGGAAGAGTTGTATGTCTTCAGCTATTTTTGTTCCTAAATACTTCATCGCTTCTGTAAGCGGTAGATAAGTCAGAGCTTCTTTAATGAGTGCATCAAAAGTAACCTCGTCCTTTGATGATAGGCCTTTTGGTCGGGGCAGACTACTTCCTCCACCACCTTTGAACCAAATTAGCTTTGGAGGTGGATTACCTCTGGCTGCGCATTCAAGAACCATCTTCTCCCCTTCTCTTGCCACGGGTTTGTAAACGTAAGCTTGGTTATCATTATTTCGTTTTTGTCGAGCTCGGGCTTTTAAGGACCGAGACCAGGAGTCGAGTGGGGGTGGAGAGGTCGGGGGACTTATGTCAATTAATCGAGGACTTCCTGGAAGCATTTGGGGCACGGAGATTACGATAAGCCGGATTGGCTGAACTTGAATGAGGAATTCTGTATTGATACCGTTATCAGTGGAGGAGTCGGTGGGATCCAGAGTAGTGCTGGTACCATCCTGATTTGCAGAACTGGTGGGATCGCTGTTATGTGGTGGAAATAGGAATTGATCTGAAGTGCTGGGAGCTTGATAAACAGGATTGGGAGCTTCTGCCTTGCACATGTACATGCCGGCATGACGAGGGGATAATTTGTTAAATTTCAAAACCTATAGATTGAAAACAGGTTATATTTAAGCATTTGTTTATCAGGTCCTAATTAAGAATGCTAATTCCCTGAATACATGCTTATTTTTTATTCTTTAAGTGGTGAAAACCAAATAGCTCTCTTCTATGTTAAATTTTCCTATTCGAGCTATTCGATTTACTTCAACGTTCCTTTATTTCTGAAGTACTATTTGGTTGCACTCTCATAAAAATACATCTGATGCAATCTATGTACTCATTTTAAAGGAAAGACAACGTTTAAATCAAAACCACTCGATAAACATCAATGCGTTTAGTAAGCTTTCATTCACTGCTTTACAATGGGTTACCTGCCCCCAGCAAAGATTATTTGGATATTACGTTATCACAGGTGAACTAGGAGTAAATTTTTATCTTAATGGCCACAGAAATCAATTCATTACTCTAAATGGCGATATCGGGAGTTTAGCGCAGAAAAGCGATCGCTTCATAAACTGCTCGAGAAGGAAGAATGGGCGATTCGGAACCTGAATGCTCAAGGATCAACTACCCCCCACGCCTACTTAAACACCAAACACAAATGGCATAAGTGCTTTCAAGAAAAATTAATCTGCAGGGAAGCTCCGGGGCCTTGAAGTTTAAAAAAAACATTGTTTTGAAAGGAAATTATACCGGTCAATTTGTCATCCCAATACACAGATGATCTACCCCCTATCCGACTCTCCCCCTCCAGTTGGCATAAATCATATGCCACGCGTAAAGAGAGGGTGGTTGTTCAATCGTATGAAATAATCTCACTGTGGACATTATTTTAACCGACGACTTTAGAGTGCAGACTCTGTGCAGTTTTTGATTATTTGATATTTAACTTTTCGTGAGTCACCCTCCCCCCGCCTCCCAACCCTTTTTGAACTCTATGCATAATGCAGAGACAAAGGCACTTTTAATAAATTTACACGATCACTAGTGAATTTTTGTATTAACTTGACTTCACACTTTTGCGTCTTGAGCTATTTTCAACTAGAAAGTATCTTATGACAACTCTGCACTTACAATGGTTTGGGGAAGACGGGGTGTGCGATAGACTTACCTCCACGTAGTGCACCCTGGGCAACGTATACTCATACGGCAAAAGAGTCTATTAACTGGCAGTTGACTTCTCACTTCAAACTACCACCCCCTCCCCACTGTATGCCATATTCGACCCCTTCCACAGTACTCACCGTTACTTTTTCTCTACCTTTGTGTCTGTCTATCTCTTTTGCATCTTCGAATCGCTCGACTTTCTGCTACTTTGATGAATCTTCCCTCTGTGAAGTCCAAAGTCAGCTAAATGGCTAATGATAGTTATCAAAACGTCTGCCATTTGAAATAAATGAATAAATCTTATGACAACTCTGCACTTATCTATTTGAATAAAAAAGAAGGGAATAAATAGGAGTAATTCATCATACACCCTTATCGCATCCAAGTTTTTAAAAGATGATATTACTTAAACTGAAAATTCTGTAAGTCTGGAGTTCATAATGTTCTAATAAACTAGTACTCTCATCACAGAAACACCGAAAAAATGTAAAGTAGTTAATTTTGCCAAGGGCATTATTATTGCTACATCTTTAAAAACAAAAGTGTACACACTTATAACTGTAAAAAATATTAAATCAGAAAAAAGATTACTGCTTCGGATGAAGTTATTCTCTTGTCACTTGAATCCACAAGGAAATTTATTAAATTGAGAATCTAAAAGGAGGGAGAATAGGAGGGTGGGGGAAGAGAGGGTAACAGTGAGCCATAAATGTGGATGAATAGCAGAGTAGAGGTCAAACTTTGGAAATTCAAAAACGTGTAGTAGTTGAAATACAATTTAACGATTGACTGTGGGTCATAATTATAATGAAGAGAGGCCCTATTGTTGATTTAGAGAAATGCAAAATATTAAAGAGTAGTTAATTGTTTGTAGGTGGCAAGGTCACTTCAAGATTTACTTTTATTGAACAAGTTTAATTAAACTCTACCAGCATTGCATAATCTACCTTTAATTAAATCTGTCCAAAGCTAAGGTTAAAGTCAAGGCGGGCATCATTTTCTTCAAAATTTTAAAGGTGCAATTGTGTCCACACATTTTGACAATTTGACAGAAGTGGCGAACTTCCTATTTATCCCGTCGAGAGAATTTTGGCTTTCACTGGCCCTTCCAAATTTATTCTATTTCTAACCGCATGACCTGATATTGTGTCCCTCGTTCTCGTATAATTGAGTCGTTATTGGTTTATTTTTCATAGAGAACGCTGGGAGATTAAATTATTAAAACTAGCCATCGGTGAAAATGAATGAGTTGTGAAACTACATCTGAGCCTGCACCTGCCAATTGGAGTGAGAAGTTAAAGTGGAAGATTGTTCTGCAATTCTATGAGTTGACTAGAGGTTAGTAAGTTCACATGGGCATCGCTATCATGAACTCAAAGCATAACACACGCAGTAAAGCATGAGATCGGAAATGACAGACGTATAAAAAATAGGCGTAGGCCATTAAACTGCTCATTTTTTGTATTTTACACTGCGGGATGTGCGATAGACTTACCTCCACGTGGTGCACCCTGGGCAACTTTCAACCCTTGCTGGTTTTCTAAACAATTATTCTTAAGAATACGATAGACTTACCTCCACGTGGTGCACCCTGGACAACGTACTTTCAAATGGCAGGCGTTATGATAGGTATCATGGGGTGTGCAATAGACTTACCTCCGTGGTGCACCCTGGGCAATGTATATTTAGACTTACCTCCACGTGGTGCACCCTGGGCAACGCATACGCATACAGCAAAAAAGCCTATTAACCGGCAGTTGACTTCTGACTTTAAACTACCATGGCCCGACTGTATGTCATATTCGACCCCTTCCACAGTGCTCACTTCACCTTTTTTCTACCTTTTGTGTCTGTCTCTTTTACAACTGTAAACCACTCTTCTGTTCCCCACCCCTCGACTTTCTGTTACGTTGATGTCCAGTTCCCCCCTCTCGATTTTTTTTCAACCCCCTCCATCTCGAAATTTTTCACTTTGATGTTCCTTCCAGCTCTCGACTTTCTGTTACGTTGATGTTCCTCCTCCTCTCTGTGAAGCCTGAAGTCAACTAAAGGGCTAATGATACCTATCAAAACGCCTGCCATTTGATATAAAGAAAAATATTTCGTACCGTTGGGGGCGCACTTTAATGTAATTTGTTCAAATTCGTGCCCCCTCGGTGAAATCAAGGGAGAATGTATCCAATAGTTTAGCTTGAATAGTCAAATATTGAAAGCTAAATCTGAAAATTTATTTTTTAGTTGAAGAAACATACACATGTAAAGGTTGGCAGTGGTCTTCCTTTTGTGCGTCGAATTGTAAAAGTTAGTATACTTGTAAATAGGCCGTATGGAAAATACAGATTAATAAAAATCATTCTGCTTAGGTTCCATTCTTGACAAAATTCCCACTTCAGGCTTCACAGAGGAGAAGGAACATCAAATTGAAAAAGTCGAGATGGGGAGGGGAACAGAAGAGTGTTTCAAAGATATAAGAGGCAAACACAAAGGCAGAGAAA